CAAAAGAAATATGGATTTGTTACATCTCTAATATGTACATTAAAGCGAAGGGGTGTCACTTGCGCACGCGCGGAATTGAGTCCCAAGCGACGATAACAACACATGCTCGAAACGCAAAGACTCGTGGGCAGACGCTTGTTTGTAAACAATGACACGCTATTTACATCTGACGCATGCGCAGTTGTCGACTTCCCCCGCTTTGAAATTGACACTCCTTTAGCATAAGAATACCTATGTGTGTTTTAAACAAATACCGTTGAGGGCAGTATATTACAAAAGACAATTTCAAAACATGACTGAAAATTGAATCGCTGTAGTTTCTATAACTATACATATTACTCAAGTAGTACACATTTTGAGATTTAGATATACATTTGCTGTCAGGTCGAAGAGGGTGTGTACAAAACGAATACTAAAGATGAAAGACTGAAGAGAAAAGGTGACGTGCATTAAGAAATTGATGTCTAACAGTATATATGTGTAAGTAGATATTACATACATATAAATGTACATTCAAATACTGCGGTATTAGGAATGTCCATTGCAAACACACAAATGCCACGAATAGAAATGTTTTAGTACGGATTTGCACGTGTCTGCGAACTATTTAGCAACATTTATTCGTGGGATTTTGTTCTGCAAAAAGTACTACCACGTTTTCTACTAAACGAAGACCCAAACGTAAATCACTATTTTACATTTATTATAAATGTAAAAAAAAAGAAATATTTAGTATGAATGTACACATATTTTTAATCTATACACTAACTGTTTCGACGTAATACGAATGCCTTTAGCGGCATTTATCTAAAGGTATTCGTTTGGCAGAATACTACCATGTCTTCTGCAAAACGACAACCCAAACGTAAACCAAATTTGGGCTTATGAACTTATGTGGATACGTGCTCGTGTACAATGATTTGACAACGAACAGCGCGTTCTCTTTGTTGCATTTTTATGTCTTGGTAGAAAACCAATATTTTTAATCTGTTTTATTAAGTTTATGCATTCATAATCAGAGGATATTCGCGGAAATACGCGTGATACATCGAAAACAGCATCGGTATTTTTTTCCTTTTTCATCGCACAGCGAATTGCTTGTTTTAATCGTGGCCGCTCATAACAAACGTTGTATGCATACATTGTGTGTTTAGTCAAAAATGTGAACTTGTTCTCCGCTGTAAAAGCCTTGGTATGTTTCACATGCTTGCCGCCAATGCTAAAGTTAAAACGTAACGCCTACGTCCAGGATGACAAACTTTTCACACCGCCCGTTCGAGCCTTGCAAAATTTACATCAAAATTCCAAACGTAAGCATTGTATCTAAAATGCAATATATATCATGTGTGTAAAATCGGTATTTAATTTCGAGTCTTTTTTGTTTTGAGAAAAATGTGGTAATATTCGACAAAACGACAACTTTTGGATCAATCATCAATCAGTGATACTGATCTCAGGTAACTCGCATCGATGTCAGATTTAAACAAATATATTTAGCCGTCGTGTCTTAGCTTAACAGACGGTGGTGGCGTCGCGATCTGTTCGATATGAGACTCATAGCGACGTATACAACGCGTGTAAAATATTGTTTGTTGACATGAAATTCGAGCATGCGCTGCGCGACGACCACAGGCCTTTGAATGACAAAATCACGTGACTTCGCGTTTGATGCCCTATGACCAATTTACCATAGAAACGCACCAGGGGCACGCGCTATCGACGGTGAATAAAGGTTTATATTAGGAATTCTGCGACAGCCGAATAAATAAATCTTGGCTGTGTGCAAATTCCTACATTTCAATTTGTGGAATTTCTGAGTGTTGAATCGGCATTTGTCAATGCTGCAATGTTTGTTCATTATTTAACACAATGTAGTGACATATCGCACATTTATATAAGTATTCATTGTTTACTCAAATAGATTTTCTGTGGGAAATTAAACTGTTAAAATATGCGTCATTGGCCATCTTCCGTCTTCCGGATCCGGTCTCTCATCTTCGGTCTTCGGTCTTCGTTTTGTATACACCCTTCTGAAGCTTTGGAAGAAATTCAATTAACATACGATGTGGGAACATTCAACCACAAAACGCGCCAAAAAGCGCTCGAATTTCGTGTAAGCAAACAACAAACAAACGCTTTTTTATTGTATCTCATAAATCGGAGCAACAACTAGCTTATTATTATAATTTCTTTGATTTATCATATCAAAAATAGATTGTTTACTTTAGTACACATTGCCTGAGATAAAATGTAACGATTTGTTGTATGAGTTGATGGTTAAATATATTAATCACGTCGAGCCTACTTGAACTCGCTCTGGTTGGCACGAGGTGAGACTTGCAAAGTTAATTAAAATCCAGCTGGAATTCCACCCTTTCTCGCATCTGAGCATGCGTGGAGTTGTTCGTCGAGACTGTATATAGCTTGCACCGCGGAATTTGTCCCATAGTCCGATGATGTATTGTGATTCTTTTCTTTAAGTCCCTCAATAATCGCCTGCAGTAAAAAGTGGAGATGATAAAGGACAATGCTAAATGTATATTTATTAAGATCACACATCACAGCATGTGTGATACGATAATGACGTAATGCTGTTGTTCATATTCAAAGCGGGAGAGTCGTCACCTGCGCATGCGTCAAATGGTCATAGCTTGTCATTGTTTACAAACAAGCGTCTACCCATGAGCCTTTGCGCTATCGTCGCTTCAATTCCCGCGCGTGCGCAGGTGACAACCCTCCCGCTTGAAATTCAGGAAGCCATGATTTGATCTTGTGAAAATATAGCACATACAATAATCGTGTGTAGAGTAATACTCACAGCAGGGAAGTTCTCTTCATAAAGTAGTTCATTTGGACTCAGTTGGTGATGAATTCGGAGTTTGCTTATTGAATCACCCAAATTCTCTCCAAACCATAACAGGTTCATTGCAGACTGGAATGAAATTATTAATACAATGGGGTCATCTTTCATATCTAATGAGTCATTACTCGCATCCAAAACTCATATTCAATGTAGTCATTACTTTTATTCAATGCAGTCATAATTAAAAGGTGGTGGTCGTCGCGTTGCGCATGTGCAACATTTGTGTTGATAAACATTGATTTACCCACAGCCCAATGCGCTCTTCTAATGGAAATCTCAAGTATGAGGTTTGACCTGAGCGCGACTTGCACTAATAACCACCGGTGATTGCTTCGATATCTTCCAATCACCTAACTAAAGGTTGGTAATGTCTCAGTTTGTATCTGCTCAACAGTCAAAGTCGCCATCTTTATATCTCGCACAAGCATAGCGCGACGACTACTGTCCTTTAAAGTTCAAGGTAAAGTTGAAGATATTATAATGAAGACATTGTTATAATCGGAAACAATCGAAATGTGACCTCACCTGCGACACGGAAGTGGGTATTTTCGTACCTCCAGACCCTCCAATTGACAGAACCACATTACCATTTTTATCAATAGACGGATTCATCGACGATAGAGGGCGTTTACCTGGTTCAATGAAATTGGCCGGCGAGGGAGGTAGCCCAAAGAAATTCGTTATGTTTGGTGATGAGAAGTCATCCATCTCATTGTTAAAAATGATTCCTGTCCTAGACCCGACGACGGTTGAACCAAATCTGAAACAAGAAAGTTTAATGATCTTTTTTTTACAGGTTTGTATTAATTGTTCTCTGCAGACAAAAAGAACAATTCTAGAAATCCAGTTATGATATTAGTGTTGGTACATTGCATCGGACAATTATTGAAAGTACAAGTAGTGAATTACGCTACTTTCTACGGTACAAGTGATAGCACAGTGCACACTGAAGACAGATTCCAACATCGTAACTTTTGTTGTCTTACATTGGTAACCTAATTACAAAACAAATATTCTTTAAAAAATAAATTGTGTTAGACTTACAGAGTGTTAATCGTACTCGTGACGGACACGGAGTTTCCATACTGGTCTACCACGGACAGATGTGACGTCCCATGATCTTCACCAATTGACAATATTGCGCCATAGTAGCCAATTCCATGTGTTGTATTGTCATGTATCATTTCTCGAATTTTAGCAGCATAATCCTTAGACATCATGTCGTCTACAACCTAAATGACACAACTACATTTTTCTTTAAAAAAAAGTTGATCCCATGTTTTTTATCTCTCTGTGGTATATTCATATGCCATAATATTCATAAAATATATTGTTTGCCCATCCGGTGTGATTGAGAGAACATGTAAAGTCTTTGAGCAACACAATAGTAGATGGCCTATAACCAACAAACAATAGTGGATGGCATATAAAGAACAGAAGAATAGTAGATAGTCTTTAAGCAACGAAACAGTTA